TGTTCCCGGTATATGGCAATAGGCTCACCCCTATTACATGACACTCATAACATAGTGAAAAGTTGGTGTCACATTGTATAGTGGCATGAACTGGCATGAAGTGCCATAATGTGCACTTCGGCCAATCTCTTCGGGGGTAAAAGTCGTTATTTTATGAATAATATGTATTTAAAAAATATATACTTGACTGCACGGTTGGTGCGGTGGCTGGCAACCGGCTGCCGTGCAACGTGTCGCGGGTTCGATTCCCGCACGGGACAACACTTTGTGTGATCCACAAATTGTTGTTTCGGGTCTGGGTGTCTTTGTGTATGTGAACTTGTATGTTTGTAAACGCACCCACGACACAGGAGAAAATACTAGTGTGGGGCAACGTTTTAAAAAAAAAAAAAAAAATATTCGTCAAGTAAGTACAGTTGTTACATTCTGAATTAATGGCTGTTACAGCATATACTTATGTTCTTAAAATATTACCATTTTTTTATTTTTTTTAGGTACTTACATATATACCGATACATATGTGAAGAGATGTTTCAGTTTTTATAAAAATTAAATCATATCTCACATCTCATCACCCTTTATTTATTACTACGCTTTTGAAATTACTAAACAGTTGAACGATTTTATACTTCAGCCATATTGAGTACCTACACTGAAATGGCCGAACTCAGGACTCAGTCCAGCCAGCGTTTTATAAAATCAGACACCAGGCGACCATAAGTGTATGAGATGTACCAGTTTGCAACATGGATCCAATAGTGTGGTCACGAAAACAGATTTTACCTATCATTAGAAGTATAGCTGAAATTCAGATTTTTAAGATATTTGATCGTCTTTTTTCTTGTACTCATTTTAAATACAAGAAAAACTATGCTATTTATTAAGCCTTTAACTGCCGACAAAAACTGTTTAAGGCTAATCCTCCGCTAGCGTCGGACAACATTGTCCGACACGGCAGCCAATGCGTTAAGTAATAGTTTTATACTATTTAATCATTTTAATTTAAACTTTTACAAAAGTAATAATGATCCATTGTTCTGTTTTCATAAACAGGTCTCAACATGCGAGCAACAACGTGTTTACACGTGTCATTCGCTAAAAGTCTCGTTGCAAAATACTGTAATTATAAAAGTCATTTCGAATGTAAAGGACCAAAGTCATATTTTCATGACTTTTATTGCTTACAATAAAATAAACTACGGTTTACGGTTAACTTACGGTTCTACTCTACTGAGTAGACCTACAGTTTTATACAGCAATTAGAAATGTTCTAATATAACATATCCATCTATTGAATGAATCAATGAATAATTAGACAGACGCACACATAGCCATCGTAGGTCATGAATATCCAGGATATATGAAGCGAATGTCTATTTTTATTAAATTGTGTATGTGAATTCATAATTAACTAAATAATATTTTAAAACAGCTATAGAATACCGAAGTTGTAGACCGAATACAGTAGTCCTGGTCGATGCCGATGATCGCTGCCCGTAACAAAATAGAGGAACTAAATATTTGTTTGCAGTCCTCGTCAATCCCCCAATGTCCTCCGACGTCACGTGTTTCATAACTTTCGGATACCAGGGTATTAGAGGTCACCAAGAGATCAGCAAATATGGTCCCTATTGTGCAGTTAGCCGATATTCAAGGTTGTTGTAGATACCCTACCCGTGTAAAAGTTACTAGGTATAAAAACTGTATTCAAAGAAACGCCAGTAATCTACTCTACCTGTTACAGTTATAAATCTTTTAGCAGGTAGCTTAGTAATTTAGACATTTTAAACAGCACGCTATTGAATAAATCCTAATGCTCAAAATTTTTGTATACATTTTTATTATTGCATTGTAAGATTTGAAAAATCGATCTTGGTATCCATAAGATACTGAGTAGACCATATAAACTTTTCTTAATCGAATAAATAATATTTCCAACATTATTTGTAATTTAACTTAATTATTGAACCGATATTTTAATTATTATAAAAAAAAACACCTAAAAGAAATCAATTTCATAAATATTATCCTTCTATCGAAACCAGACGAACTGAGGCCACAAGTTTACCAATACCGAGTACCAGGGTTCCACATGCACTAAGAGCTACTTCGAATGGCGTCGTATCGATTTCCAAGGGGTGAACTGCATACGTCACTCGATGCGGCGACCTTGATTTTTTTTTTGAACCAGTACAGGCAAGCTATTGCGTCATCGCTCGAGCTCGTGCCACGTGGTTTTCTAGCGCTGAGTACTAGGATATCAAAGTTGCTGTGAAGTGAATGTACCTGTACACTTGTAAGTTGATCAATAAAGTGTATTAGTACACCGATCAAGTTTTCTAGTGTCCTAGTGTTCAGACGCTAAAAACACGCTGCTTCGCCGCATGACCGCATGGCAAACGTTTTCTTTCATTTTCTTCGTAGACGCAACAAAGTCGCAGTGTGAAAAATGTTCTTATCTTAATTATTATAAGATTTTCTTTGTTTGTTTGTCGTAGATGGTGAGCCGATACTCCAGGCACATTTACATATTTTCATAAAATCGAAAAAAATCAACGCAGAAACGTTTGTCACACCCGATACTTGGTTGATAAGGATGGCGAAGGAAGGCGATAATATTTTAATTTTATCAACATAAAGTCATCTATATATATAAAAGAAAGTCGTGTTAGTTACACCACTTATAACTCAAGAACGGCAGAACAGATTTGGCTGAAAATTGGTAGTGAGGCAGCTTAGAGCCCGGAAACCGACACACAAAAAAAAAATTTTGGTCATAAAGTATCCTACTTTATGACCAAAATTTTTTTTTTTACCGAAAATCACGAACGGGGACGGAAAAAAATGGGATTACGCGTACGAAGTCGCGGGCAGAAGCTAGTAATTTATAAACAAAGTTGTTGATAACATTAAACCTTTAAATAAAACCAAATCTTATAACATCATGCAACAGTTAAAAACTTCCGGATTATATTCCATATACGGACTGAAATCTATGAATCTGTCTGTCCCTAATACAGCATACTCTTGGTTACTCCTAATACCCTGGTATGGTGGCCTTTTAAAAAACGTGACGTTACCATAGATTTCCCACGATCGGTTGTCTTGTCCGCTTAGTTTGAGATTTAGAATAGATTTTTTATACGTCCCTTTTTAGGGTTCCGTACCGGGCAAAAGCCGGTACCCCTCCATTAAAGGAGAACGATACATCAATGGTCCCCAGTATGGGAATGACGTAATGTAGCAACGACGTGTTCTGCAGCGCAATTATATCTGCATGTTTACAAAACCGTCCCACATGTTCTATTGACCACGTGGTATTTTTACAATGTAAACGATAATTATTAAATTTGAACCAGTACTTTCGGAGATTAGATTTAAAAATTATCGATCAAACAAACTGTTCAGTTTTATACATAATATTACTACAGATTAGGTCGCTATATTCCTTATCAGTATCATGTTCATTTTGTCAAGGTCAATGTCCATACTTATTACTAACGTATTTTTAATGTTACACACGGTCGCCCCCTCGACCCAATTGTAGATAAATATTAGGACTTTGATATCAGTGGCTTTAAGTTTTAGAAGTCTCAGTTTTTTCCACAAAAGGACTTCTCAATCTTCTTTCCTGCCCAAATATAAATCTATCATCCAAGGAGTATCCAGGGAGTATTCACCCTTTAAAAAATAATCATCCAGGGAGTCACATTTTAATTTGCCTTCATTCTAACAAACAGTTTCTGAGAAGCGTAATGACATTGGTTTATTGTATTAGTTTAAATATTGAAAGATGATTGAAAGTAACAAATATGTGCATAACGTAGTGGGTAACATATTTACCATAGTCTAGTATGTAAGCCTAATTATGTGTAGTATTAAAGTAAATATTATTATATGATTGCAATGTAACTAAATATTGTGTATTATTGTAATATGTTATTGTTTATTATTCCTTAAAGAATAAATAAATAAAAAATAAATAAAAAGCTTTTTTAATATAATGTACATACGGTCGTACACTATCGTTCCGCGCAGTGTGTATCGGAACGACAAATACTTGTCCTGCGAGTCCCGTCGGTCGTCGCGTCGACATACCGATGACGTAGTAGTGGGATCCGTGGTATATCTTGGAATATAAAACTACATGGTTTTGCGTTCTAAATATACTATAACATGTAACTTAAATAACGCACATCCTGAAAATAGTATGTTCAGAATCGTTAACTGAATCGATTTATATAATTTTTAGTATAGGTAATTTTTTATCCCAAAAATTATTAAAACTACGGAAATTATTGTCATATTAACCCTGTATTGTTAAAACAAATCGAAATGGACCGTAAGTCAAAGCAATAAGACTATTAAAATCACAGTTTTATTTGTTTTCATACAAATTCTATCATTCAATACAAAATAAAGAAAAATAAACCTTGTGACAAGACCAGTAAGGATGCATATACATGTTAATAAAAAAATTTAGTGTGTGTGTTACGATTATAACAATTAACATAATATTCTAATTGGGGTGTTTGAGGGTGTGCGTTAATTACGTTACATGTTGTATATTACTCTCAAAGAATTCACTAACACATATCTGGCTAGTACTTTGTTGATTCGTAATGGATCTTGTTCAGATAAATGCAAGGATTTACTATTTCCGCGGATATTGTTGTCCTTGATTGCTTCTCTATCGCGACAATACGTCAGTATGCGGAGATAATTACATGAAAACTGTATCAAATTGAAATTCATATCACATATTATATATCTTAAACCTGTCACAAAATCAAACTTTTAAGTCAACGCATTCAAAAGAAACAACAATTTGCGACATATTTTAAGTACCTATTATTTAAGTAATGTTTTATAGCACATATAATGAAGAAATTCCGAAAACATTAAACTTTTTTTCACCTACAGTTTTGTACGGAACCCTCAATGCGCAAGTTCGACTCGCGCACCGAGGCCGGTATTTTTTTACTGCTTCGTTCTCTGAATAGGCATAACCGCCAAACAAAAGAATCGCAACTTGATCCACGGGACTGGTAAACTTATGTTGTGACTGGGTTCTGGGTTTAGTAGTTTAGCGCGATGCACGGTCGAGTACGGACGTGCGTACGCTGCTTGTAACGAATTGTTTATTCGCGACTTGCGCGGCTATAGCCGCTGCCCGTGCTGATAATTATGAGTACTCAAACACCCATACTTAACGACGTGCTAGCATTGTTGCAGAATGTCTACGAATATTTTGACGAGGGCCACCTCTTGGACCTCTGCAAGTGTGCCTTCAAGAAAGTCGAGATAAACAGTGCAAGATCGCTACTGTTCGAGACGCTCGACAAAGTTGACCAGATCCCGGCTCGCCGGAGAGATACCACCGACGATATTATCCAGGATATTGTTACCCTGTTGAAGGAGATTGACCCGGATGAATTGCCTAATTTCATGGTGAAAGATGTTTTTAAAATCTTGAACATTGAGTTTAACCACTTCGACGTCACTAAGATTCTTAACGATATCAAAACCATGAAAACCAGCCTGGCCGAACTGCAGTCAAAGTTGGAGGAGTCAAATAATACTATATGTGACTTACGTGCCGAGGTAGTTCAATTGCGCAGTGCTGCTTCAGCAAGTAAGTTACCTGATACTTCCAATGTGAACGCAGGATGTGAAGTACCGCCCGCTGCAACCGGCAGTGAATCGGTGGTGGCGACTGTGTCACCAGTTGAACCTGTAAGCGTAGCCTCGCACGCCGCCGCCAACAGTACTTCCGCATTAGTGCAAGAACCGGCAAGTGTCGGTGCGTTGACTGCTAATCGTGTCTATGCAGATGTCGCCACCACTAGCCCGTCGGTGTCATCACAGAAAAAGAAAGTGGTTCAAATAAAACTGGACCAAACAAACCAGATGAGTTTGAAAAAGGACACATGTGACGATGATGGCTTCATCAAGGTGGAAAAGAAAAAGAAGAAGAAGAAGCCTCACTGCCGGAACCAATATGGTACCGCGCCGAAAGAACCCGATATGGTGCTACGTCCAGCAACACCCACGACGCAGCTGTACTTGTCCCGACTGCATCATTCCATGACGGTAGAGGACGTCGTCAAATATATACAAGAGCAGATAGGCTGGACATTGAGAGTCGAGAGGTTGGAGTCGCGCTACAAGATGAATTATAAGTCGTTTGTGGTGCGGGTTCCATCACATTATCTGGACACCTTTCTCAAGGAAGAGTTCTGGCCGGCAGGTGTTGTGTATCGCCGTTTCCGTGGCCGGCTACGCGACACCAGTCAGCGGGACACGACGCCGCCTCTTCGTGTACATTAATTTTAAGTTAAAATAATTTGATATCGTATCTATTCATTTATTGTATTATATAATTACTATTTTTTGTATTTGTGTATTTTATTTTATATGAGGAATAAATAAAAATATAATAATTATAAATATAACCTATTTTTCTTTACAATATTCCTGATAATAAATAGGTATGCGTATTTTATATTTATTATTCGTCAGTGAGGTTCAAGTCCCACTCGCGACACTTGCCTTTCTGCATTCGGAGAATTAAAAACATGAAAATATGTTACGGTTTTCTTTAACACGACGATCCCTTTGAATATATACTTTGTACGTATTATGCACCAAATGACAATCAATAGTAATTGTATATAGCTTCCGATGCTACCATCGCAATGGTTGCAATACTTTGATAAAATCAGTGCTCCAGGTAACTCCTGACGTCCTGGTACCGCTACAGTTGTTGCAACGTGACGCCGCACCTACCCTCGCTTACCCCGACCGACTGCGGGTCATAGCCAGCTTGTCGTTTTGTACTCTTTTATAGTTTTTTTTTTTTTTAAATTGTAAAATGTTATAGGAAAATATAGTAATTGAATAGTTAGGAACAAACGTAATGTACTGGTAATTTATGATGAAGCAGAGGTGCACATTATGCCACTGTACCTTACAATGTAACAGCCACTTTTCACTATTTATGTTATGAGTCCCATGTAATAGGGGGTGAGCCTATTGCCATATACCGAGCACAATTCCAGACTCAGTGCTACTACTGAGAATTTTTAAAAAACCCTGTAATACTTTGCCCGAACCGGGAATCGAACCCGAGACACCTTGCCCGGCAGTCGCACGTGCGACCACTCACATTTTAAGATGTATTATTTAATATTAACCTTTATTGTACACTATAATATAATATACATGTATTGTAAACAAAGGCGGTCTTATCGTTGAAAGCGATATCTTCCGGGCAACCTTTCGGTGGATGGAGCACTGTTGTAACTTGTTGATGATAGTGGAAGTCTTTCCAAGTGTACTCAGGTGTACAAATAAGTTATTAAATAACATAACATCACGCCTTTTACCCCCGAAGGGGTATAGGCAGAGGTACACCTTATGCCACTGTACAATGTGACACTCACTTTTCAATTTATGTTATGAGTCCCATGTAATAGGGGGTTTGCCATATACCGGGCTATTAAATAACCCGATATATTTATTAATATATAATTTTTACACTACAGAAATATATAAGAACAAACAAAAAATAATAGTTCACAATGGGCAGTCTTATCGCACACGGCGACTTCTTACTGACAACCTTTCGATGGAGCTGTATGTAGTAACTACATGAATGAATAAGAATCTATCTATGTAAGAAGGATTTAGAACTGTCAAAACAAGAAACGTATGAAATGGTTATAAAAGTTATATAAACGCAATCTTAAGGAAACTAATTAAAATTGATAAAAAGAGTGATTTGGAATTTAAATAATAGGCTTAATCGTCGTTTCTTTGATTTACACGTGAGATGATCATTATTATTTTGTTACTAGATTATTAGTGTACCTAAATAGATTATGTTTTATGATAAGTAAAAAACTTTGATTTACAGAGCAATACGTTGTTTATTATAAATAGAAATAAAAAAAAAATATTTCTACTTCAAACAATTCCAAATGACCCAATTATTAAAGATATAATAAAATAAAGGGTGGTATATTACTTTAGAACAAAGAAGTTCGTTATTGGTTTCAATAGTTGGTAGGATGTATACGAAATGCTCGCGAAAAACACTCAGGATTTTTTTTTTTTCATATTTTTAATCGGTTTTTTTTAAGAATAATAATTATGCAACATCAGCCTTGACCGATTCATTACAACTTCTATTTCATAAAAAAAAACATTTAATTTCTTAAAAATATAATGAAACTTGTTTTTAAACAGAACGGTGAGCGTAAAAACTTCAAATGATTACGTTTTGATAACATAGTCATTTAATGAGGTCCGTAACTATATTTCTTTTTTAGCAATTTTTATACTTTAGGGAAATCTTTAGGGATTTCTATCTTGAAATACTTCATGAAATTACTAAATAGTTTTAGATTATGTAACATTACTAAAACTATATACATAATTAAAAAACATACGGATGCAGGAAATTAATTAGAGGTATAAGCTAGCTAGCCGCAAACTCGTTGGACTAGGACATGGTCGGGGTAAGCGAGGGTAGGTGCGGCGTCACGTTGCAATAACTGTAGCGGTACCAGGACATCAGGAGTTACCTGGAGCACTGATTGTATCAAAATATTGCAACCACTACCATCGACAGCTTTACGAGATTACTACTGTCATTACTTTACGCTTGGTTTGACATTTAATATATTTATTATTCGTCATCATTAACTGTGGTGTAACGCTCAAAAAACCGTCATATTAATTTCTTCGTGTATTTTGTTCACTGTACTGAATGTAGGTAGGAAGTACTCGTACACTTTTGGTGTAATGACTATTGTGAGACACTACACTAGTTGAAACAGATACTCATCATATCGTGTCGGATGTCGTGGTGGCCCGGGTTCGAAACCTACCAACGACAAGTCCATTGTGACTTTTTCAAAGTTATATAATATGTACTTTCTAAGATGATCTAGACACCACTGATAAATGGTAAAGGAAAACATCGTGAGTAAACCTGGCCTTATCATTTCTAATTATAAGTTTGAAATCGCCAACCCGCATTGAGTAAGCGTGATGTTTAATGCTCAAACCTTCTCCGTGCAAGAAGAGGCCTTAGTGGGCATTATAGGCTATTGATGATGATGAAAGATCAGTCAGTTGTTTCACATTAATTGGTGGAAATTGCCATAAATAAATATGAACTTTATAATATGTATAAGAAATGTAAAACACACAAATTATTATTATTAAATCTATTTATTATTGGTAATTTTGGGTATTGAAAATGTATTATTATTTATTTACATATAAAGGCTCCTACACACAGTGCAGGCGGCAGGGCCGCTGGGTAAGCCAAGCCGCCGTGCACCCGGCGGCATACAAAGCCGGCCGGCTTTGCCGCACAAAGGAGCCGCCGGCAAGTAAAACATTTTCACTTCACTAGCGTTCTATGTGACTGTCACAACCGAAATGATGCTTGACGGCTTTGTGCGGCTTGTGCCTTGTATTGCCGGCGGCATAGCCGCTCGGCATGAACCCGACGGCATTGCCGCCGGCATGTGTGTCGTAGCCTTAACACATAAAAACGAAAAGGTTTTATATGACATATCATATAAAACAAAAAGGTATAAGCATACAAAAATCCGAAATAATAGGTGATCTAAGAACTAAACTAGATAATAAATATGACAATACGAGTACATTATTTAAACTTATAACTAGTGAGCACACGAAGAGGCGGCGTCGTGTCCCGCTGACTGGTGTTGCGTAGCCGGCCACGGAAACGGCGATACACAACACCTGCCGGCCAGAATTGTTCATCGAGGAAAATGTCCAGATAATCTGATGGAACCCGAACCACGAACGACTCGTAGTTCATTTTGTAGCGCGGCTCCAACCTCTCGACTCTCAATGTCCAGCCTGTCTGCTCTTGTATATATTCGACAACGTCCTCTACCGTCATGGAATGATGCAGTCGGGACAAGTACAGCTGCGTCGTGGGTATTGCTGAACGTAGCACCATATCGGGATCTTTCGGCGCGGTACCACGCTGGTTCCGGCAAAGAGGCTTCTTCTTCTTATTTTTCTTTTCCACCTTTATAGAGCCGCCATGGTCACATGTGTCCTTTTTCGAACTGGTCTGGTTTGCTTGGTCCCGTTTTGTTTGGACCACTTCCTTTTTCTGTGATGTTACCGACTGGCTAGCGCTGGCGCCATTTGCATAGGCACAATTTGCGGACAACGTATCGATACGTTCCTGTACTTGCACCAGTACGGAAGTACCGGTGGCAGCAGCGTGTATGGCGACGCTTTCAGTTTCAACTGGGGACACACTTGTCACCATTGACTTACGGGTCGTCGCAGCGTTAGCTGGTTCGCGTACTGTGTTCATGTTGCAAGGATCAGGTGATATACTTACAGAAATAGAGCTGCGTAACAGCGCTACCTCGGCGCGCAAGTCGCTTATGGTGCTATTTGACACCTCCAATCTTGTTTTCAGTTCAGCCACGCTGTCTTTCAGGGATGTGATATCCTCAAAAATCCTTGTTATATCAAACGTATTGGGTGAAGGTAACTTAGACAGGTCCTGCGCCACGAAAGTGAGCAAGTCATACGGGTCAGTTTTCTTCATCAGGATAATAATATCCATAAGAATATCCTCAGTACTCTCTTGCTTGCGACACGGAATCTGGTTATATCTGTGAAGCGTCGTGAACAGTATCAATCTTGCAATCTTTATCTCTTTTGTCTTGTAGGTAGACATGCAGGCCTGCATGATGCTGAAGTCGTCCAATCGAATTTCGACGGCATACTTCAAGAATGCTAACACCTCGTTGACTATCAGTGGCTCGGAACTCATTGTTATCAACACGTCGCGTAAGTCAAGAATAGACTATTCGTTACAAGCAGCGTACGCACGTCCGTACTCGACGGTGGATAGCGCTAAACTAAAAGTACAACATAATTTTCCTAGCTCCATAGATCAGGATTCTTTTGTTTAAACTGTCAAACACCAAGCGGTCACCGGTGACCGCAACCTATTGTTCTTTAATTGTGTCTATAAATACGGTACTCGACGAGTTAACTTGCAACTATTCAAAAAAGACATGTAATTATCAAATCATTTATTAGTTTCTTGGTTTAATATTAAACATCGTTTAATGTTACCAATTACTAGTGATTTTAAACGTACAACAATTAACAACAAATATTTTATACAACTTAATAGTTATTTGCAGAACAATTACATAGCTGTAATGTGTAGTAAAATAAAGACTAAAAGTTGAAAGAAATACAATTAAGATAAGATTAAGAAACAAATGTTTATATTTTGTTTTCAATTGTTTTGTTACTAATCTTCACAAAAAAACAACATAGTTTACTGTAAAGATAATTTAGGTATGATAGCTAGGTACTACTAGTAAACAAAATGTCCATCCAACACACACATACACATGAAAGCATATTGATCGACATGGTATTTATTATACACACGTCCGTGATTCAATAGGGTTGCAAACGATGACGTCATGGATTGGCATAGAGTACTAAGGGATCAGAACACATGAGAAGATTGTAGCTGCGTCACTCCTCACTGGAGCTTAAAGCCATTTTCAATTGTAGTTTTTAAATGGGAAATGGAGAAATATTGTTAAGTTCTAGAAAATAATGAATAGTTCTATAGATATTATAATTTTGCATTGTATAACTTTTCCAATTTTAGTGGAATTCAAATTAGCAACAAACTCAATACATATCGTTTATCAATATACAGTTTAATAGCCCATATTATGAAGAAAATATTATACACTAATCTTCAAAAAAAGCTGTCGAGTGTCGAGTACTAAGGCTACCAGAAAAGGATGGTGTTAGCTATGACGTCAAGCCGTGACGTCATCGACAAGGACATCGCACCCCAACCCTCGATGCAGTCTAGACTGCGTTGGAGAGCTAGATAGATATAATGCTGTCTCTTTCTGTGTATAAACTACAGGGTGACACACACTCATGTAAAAACACCATATGAAAAGCCGGTAACATACTATTTTATTGTTAGACTATGCAGTATGCTATGGGCCTCCTCTACATAAGAAGGTTTGTCATAATTACCACGCTTAACAGGCTGGCAAAAGTTTAGAAATCACAGTTCAATACGTTCAAGTTTAAAAGCACTGTTGCCCGTCTTTATCAAATATGTAGCTCATCAATCGGCATTTATAAGTTTTTCACACCCACGTAGAGAGTAGGGGTGGTGATAAATACATTGCTTGCCATCATTACAGCAGCAGACCATGTGCTGGTTAAGCTAAGTGATAAATACTACAAACTAGATTGGCACAGTTGGTAGTGCATTGTCATAATTTACAGATTAAGCTAATCAGCCCGATATCCATAATCGCTTGCAATTGACAATTTGACAGGTATTATTCCTAACACACATGGCTTCTACACATACCCCTATGTAATCCATACTGTCCTAGTAACGATATGGCATAATGATTATTCGAATATAACATAACATAACATAATATCACACCTTTTATCCCCTAAGGGGTAGACAGAGGTGCTCATTACAGCACTTAATGCCACTGTAGTACAATGTAACACATACTTTTCACTATGTACCTCTATTTTATAAGTCCCATGTAATAGGGAGTGAGCCTATTGCCATATAACGGGCACAATTCCAGACTACATACTACTACTGACATTTTTTTTAAACAAACCCAATAATACTTTCCCCGACCCGAGAATCAAACCCGATACACCCCCCTTACCCAGCAGTCGCACTTGCGACCACTCTGCCAACGAGGTAGTCGAATACATGTATAATAAGGAAAATTAAAACTATGTATATAGTTAAGTTCAATACTTATATCGAAATGTCAATAAACAATATTACGTATCTATATGCCTTTTTTATGGAACTATCATCTGTACAATTACATTTTTATAGACATTCGAAACTTTCAGAAATCGAGGTTAAAATTGTGTAACTGCTAGTATCTCCTTACACAAATAACTGCCACGGTATTATAACTATATTTTATTCGCTACCTTTATAAAACACCATGCTGAAAATTACCACGTGCGTAAAGCTCAGAGCTTTGAAAGACTGCTTTATTACTGCATCGGTGGCGTCAATCTACCTCCTGTTGTTTCTGGTAGCCTGGTACTAAAAGCCAAAAATGCCACGTGGCGCGTGCGTGAAGCGTCTATTGGAAGTAAAACTTTGTCTGCAACTGTAAGTAATAAATAAAAGCTATGAAAAAATAAACGTAAACTTACAAAGTCATAATCATAGGTGATTATTACTTATCTATTTTATTTTTAATTACTAACTTGAGACAAACTTTTGGCATAATAAATAAATAAATAAATAAAGACATTAGTGTTAGTACATGTCTACTTATTTATACTCGTCATTTCCATTAGTTAACAGGCACTCATTATAAGAATTTGTTGAAAACGGCAAATGTGATAAACAGTGACCACCTTTAGTAAACACTAACATTTTAGCATGTGCTATGTAAGTACCATAAGTGTTCTCCAATTCAAAGGTCAACAGGTGTTTATTTGGACCATCTGTTCCCCGAACAATGCACCCCTCAGTTGATCCACCCCTTACAGAACTGCTGTGCAAAATTACTCCTTACGTAATGTGATGTCCTGGTATGGCTGGAATCAAAACACGTGGCCTTTTCATACTTCGCATAATGGCCACTTTTGATAGCGACGAGATAAAACTATGATATTGCTACAAACTTGCTACGACGTAGTAACTGACTGAATTATTAAAAATGGCAACTTCTCTTTTATTGAATAAAATTTTGCACAATGCATTAACTAACTTAGTTCTTCATAGACTTTTTTTTTCTATCGCGATGGAAATCCTCATGGACTTCCCGCATCGTGGGGACGATGAGGGGGCGTGCCGGACTCTTACCGGCTAAAACCACCGCGGTGTTCCTTCACTGCCTGTGACCGTGACCCGGGTTGCCCTTACAGAATCACCACATCCGGCAGGCTTCGATCTACCGCTATGTTTGCGGCAGGTCCCGCCACCTTAGCCCTAGGTGGCTGCTTCCCTTCTTCGAGTAGCGCGCGTGGAACACTACGCTACCGCCTACTCCCGCCTATATAGCGGACGTCTGACTCCCCCGGTCAGTCGCCCGCAGGCCTCTCCTCAAAGTTCCTCAGAGACTTAGTACAACAGGTGCAACTTAAACTTAAATAAATTTAATTCATCTTGCTTTCAAATTAAAAATAAAAATGTTATTCATATTTGTATTTCACGACCTAAACTCTTAGTTAGATATTAATTTTAATATTAATGTCATCTGTTCTGTACCTGGATAATCCTGTACTTATTGTAAATATGATAAATAAAAGAAAAAAAAACCTACGTAATTCTAGCTTAGCTTTAAAGCAACCCCGTCACTTGAATCGATCCATCCAACGTAAAGCTGCTTCTAATCTATGATGCCCTAGTAAGTCACGTTTAAAAACACGTGGCCTCAGTGCAGCCCGCATGTCAGAAGAAGGCTGAATTTTTATGAGATTTCACCTAATGGAGGATGATATAATAGGTATATTTTAATTGCGTTAAAATAAATTTAGTTTGACGAAATAAATATCTTTACTGTTTAAAAAATATAGCTATAACTACCCAAAATATCGATTTTAGAGTTCACCTTTGTATCGGAATAAAAGGTGGAAAATAATAAACTTTACATCGTAATTTTATCGAAATAATAGCAGAGTTAGGTGAGCGGGGTATCATTGAAAGCGCGGTACTTGCGGATTTGTTAGTAGCCATAAGTTACTGGACATGAGCATACCGCTCGTTCGCAGTTGAGCAATATCTAAAGAATGGTGAATCGTTGGTTTGCGTGTGTCAAACGTTTTGTACTCATTTTAATATTCGATGTTTAAGTGATGGGCCAAGCACGTATCTTATTTCGTCGTGGGTACAAAGATTTAGGCAAGAAGGGATAACGCTCAACAGAACTCGGAGGAGTTCTGTTGAGCGTTATCCCTAGGACAATCAACATCAGCAGCAACCCCCGAACGTGTGTCTGAAGTTCGAAATGAAAATAATAGATATCCACGCAAGTCGATTAGGATTTACAGACTCCACAGGAATCAAAAGTCAAAAGTGCATGTTATTTTGAAGAAGAAATTGCATCCATCTCCTCCATCCATACAAAATGTTAATTGTCCAGGGTCACAAGGAAAGCGCCTATCGTTTGCGAGATACCTTCGCAAAAACAATCCTGTGTAAAAACGCATTTTATATGTATGTATGGGTATTGTAAATCGTAATAAAAACTAGACGGTCACAAAACTTTACTTATAACTCTATGAAATACAATAAAAGGGACAGGTTTACAGCTTATACCTCTACATAAAAAATAAAGAAGAAAGTTTGTCTAATAATTTATTTTAATTATACCATTATAGGTTATTTATTTATAGACTCTAATCAAGGTCAGTATAGTAATGGTTATTCAATGTGTATTCATATATATTTTTTAGAATCGTGGAGTAAAATGACTTTCTTACTTGTACTTTTTACTTACGTGAGGAAAACGCTTTGGATAATATAAATTATAAACAACGGATCTAAAGGTGTTGGAAAGCGTTCCAGTATTGTGACTGTACGGTTGGTGCGGTGGCTGGGCAACCAGCTACCATGCAGCTTGCCGCGGGTTCGATTCCCACACGGAACAAAACTTTGTGTGATCCACAAATTGTTGTTTTGGTTCTGGGTATCATGTGTATGTAAATATGTTTGTTTGTAAACGCACCTACGACACAGGAGAAAATCCTAAAATGGGGCAACGTTATTTAAAAAAAATCTTATACTTTTGCTGTCAAAATAGACGAAACAAGAACAAATACTACAGATAATTAAATGAAAAAAGTAAA